ATAGGCGTCACCCTATACTTGTTTTGAAATAAATTAAAAAAATTAATATTTTAGGACGCCGTCAACAATTCATTATCTTTTAAAAAATCTTTTGTAAAATAGTGTCCACTAATCTCACTATACCTTTTTTGTGCGTAAAAAACGTCGGTATATATGCCACACGTTATTGTTATTTATACACGGGTGATTAACGAGAGAATTCAATGTTTCACAAAATAAATTAATAGAAACAGTAATTTAAAGGTGATTATTGTTTTCTATACAAATTATCGCCTGACACAAAAAGAATACCTTCTTTGAACGATACCTGGAATTACTGATAAGGCTTCACTAATGATAGTTTAAGTAGTTTTTATGCCACATTACAGCTTATGCCAATAATTTAAATTAGAAATTGTTTGCATATTCCATTTAGTTTGTAGATGTACATTGTTCATGTTTTACCTACCTACGTTTTTGGTGTCGATATTTTGTTATTTGCATTTAAAAATGACGTCGACAACAGGTTTTATCCCGGTTAAGTGTAGTTTTAAAGGTGCCTTCAGTCTAAGAGAGAAAAATATAATATTAAATGTACACGATGCACTTGTACATCAACGCCCTTTAAGTAATGTTCGTAAAATCGTTAACATGTATTCAAATATGACAGGGGTTGGAGAAGCAACAATTTATAGATTCCTAAAAGAAAGAAAAGGAGGAACTGTTTCATCTCCCAAGAAGAGTGGAGGGAGTAAACCCTTGGAAATTGAAGAAATACATAAAATCATGATAAGACGTAGCGTCCACTCATTTTTTTTAACAAAGAATTTCCAACATTGGACAAAATCCAAACATTAATAAGAGAAAACGAAGAGTTACCAATCATAAGCAACAAGAAATTATGGGGACTATTGAGAGAGATGGGATTTCATTGACAAAGAATAGAAGAAAATCCGTTTTAATTGAAAATGATTACACTGTATGTTGGAGACGAGATTATCTAAGAACTATTAGAAAGTACCGAGAAGAAGGGAAAACAATTTTTTTTTGGACGAGACTTGGCTAAATGAAGGTCATACTGTACCATATCTATGGGTTGATACAAATGTTAAAAGTTTCCGTCAGGCATTCATCGAAGGTGTATCTATTGGAATAAACAATATTCCCATTGGAAAAGGACGCAGACTCATAAACCCCATATTGGAAACGAATACGGTTTTGTCAATGGAGAATTATTAAGTTTTGCCTTAAAATCAACCAAAGATTACCACGAGGAAATGACTGCTGACGTTTTTGAAGAATATTTTGAGCAAATGTTGGACTTAATTCAAAAAATTCTGACATAGTCATGGATAATGCTAGTTACCATTCAAGACTAGCAGAAAAATTGCCAACAACGGCATGGAAAAAAGGAGAGATAATCGAATGGTTGGATAAACACGCAATTGAGTACAAGGAGAATTCGACAAAAAAGGAATTATAACCTATTGTAAGGCAACATAAAGCAGCTTATAAATAATATATAATTGATGAAATGGCATTAAACCGTGTTGTAATTATTTTACGTTTACCCCCATACCACTGTGATCTGAATCCGATAGAAAATATATGGTGTCAAGTAAAGGGTGAAGTCGGACGCAACAACAAAACTTTTAAATTAGAAGACTTACAACAATTATTAGAACATTCCTTATCAAAAGTAACTCCAGAAAATTGGAAAAATGCTGTTAGTCATGCTCACAAGAAAGAACATAAAATGTGGAATTTGGATAATATGACTAATGCAATGCTGGAACGGGTAATAATTAACATTGGAGTTGAAGATTCCTTAGATTCTGAAGAAAGCAGTGATTCTGAAATGGAATTTGTTTAAAATAATACTCATTTTTTTTTAAATCGGCCCCTGTTACGGCCACAAATTATTTTATATATAACCAATAAAATAAACATCTTACATTTTTTGCAAATTCATAAGTACCTGTTAATCTCCATCACTCCGACACTGACAACTTTATTTAGGGATTAGTAACCCTCAAAACTATTGTATTCTATTCTGCTTCAACCTTTATACCTGGTGGTCATACTCAATTTAAAATTGTTTTCCTATATACTTCTGTAAACTTGTTGACAAACATCTATTTTTCATTGAGTCACCCGTATCAACAGTTTAGGGATTTGCATACATAATGTGCTATCAATATGATGGAAATGGACTATAGAATATCGAAGGCCTGTGTATAATTTATAAAAAGCATGTGTGTCTCATATCATATTCGTAACATTTCTCATTTATTTTAACTTGTTTTAACCTTTGAATAGTGTCGGTCGTAGATTTTTTTCCCCTTTTTGTAACCTACCTTATAGTCACGTATGATATTTTCTGAATATTCTGCCAGGCTGTTTTTTAGAATTGTAACGTTATTCGTTATGCGTCGCATAAGACGAAGGTGGAGACTACATTCGTCAATTATTTGCTTTATTCGCACGCATAAGACCGGCTCCACACATGGGATCCAATGTTGGGTCAACTGTGGTCCCACGTATTGTGACTATTCACAATAATACCTTCTGATGTCTCTCCTTTTATCAATTGCACAGATGTATACATTTTGATTTATATCTCTGCATCTCTGTACTATTTGTACCCTGCATATTATATTATTATCCCATTATATTATTATATCCCTGCATTATACTTGGAAATATCCTGGAGATAGGTCTAGAAATCAAATTGACTACATTATTGCTAATATTCGCATACTCTTTTCGGAACTAAAGTAAAGGTCAAACTTAAAGCACCCAATCAACGGAGAGAGACAAAGAGGATAGAACTAAGAAAGAAGGACAACCTTCTCCAAGAAGTGCAAAAAGTATGCCCCCTATTGGTAAGGGTACATCACAAGAAAATATGGGAGACTATTAAACATTGTGTAACATTAATTAATTGCAGAAAGATAATACATTGAAACAAAAACATTGGACAAGAGATGAAACCCTTAAAATATATGGGAATAGAAGAAATTTGCCAAAATGGTGTACATAGTGAAAGGGAAAAAGCTAGTTTAAGAGACCCAACAAAAAAATAAAACAAAGATGCAAGGCTGATAAACAACAATACTGTCACAATATATGCAAAGAACATCAGGATCTATATAAAGACGATCGACACCAGGAACTTGTTCACCAAACTACAGAAGAAATCTAAGAACCTAACAAACTCGAGAATAAAATAAGACCAGTAAACTCAAGTATAACAAAGCACCAGGTCCAGCTATGATAACAGCATGAAATGCTGAAAGCTACAGAAAAAACAGGAATAAAACGTTTCACTTGCTCTGTTACAAAATATGACATTCTATTCTTTTTATCTTTATTTCCGACTTCTCTTCTTTGGTTCACGTGTCAGTATTTCTTCTGTCATAAACTGTTTCTTTGTTTTTACGCCACTTAATTTTGTTTCTTGTTTTGTTTAGTACATTCCTCGCTGCTTGATGTCAATTTTATTTTTTGTTCTAGTATACTGGTTATTTCTTGTTATACGATATCATTTAACATCTCTTCTCTATCAATAATAACTGTTTTCTTATGCGAAACTTGCTTACAACATCATAAATTTCAATGCATTGCAGTCTTTGTGCACTCAAAATCTAATGTTGCTGTAAAATAGTGAGTTTAACTCCACAAATATAAACTCTGCCATGGAGTTTCTACTTGAAAGTCGGACACTACTTAAAAAATCGATTACTCTTGTCACAAATTGAGGGAAAAACAATAAAAACTGGGAAACTAAAAATCAAATAAGATTATAAAATATTTTATTGTTTATTTTCTTACACCACTACGGGGAAATATTTAACAAATTTTAAAATAGAAAAACAATAATTACAAAAGTATTATCGAAAAAAAAAACAAATAGAATCTCCTATCTATCTAAATTATAAATCAAATTACGCAAAATGAATCTAAGGTTGTACAAATTTTGATGTTATTAAACTGTATCATATAATACATTAACCTAAGAAAATGTTTAACACGAATAATTGTCAGAATATACTTTTCATACCTTAAAATAATATCATTTCCTAACAGAACATTAGTATTTTACATGGTGACTTATACTTTATATAATTATCAAATAAATATTTAACACGTAACATATAACATAAACATTTAACTTTTCTCAAATATAACCTTTACATATTGTTGAGATTGGATTGTAAATATAAAATTGCTGTCCTTGAGACACCAGTATAATGAACTTTTCAAATAAGACATACAATAAAACAAGTACTATAATGGTTTGATGTTTTTACTTTTGTAAACCATCCCAAAAAAGCAACGAATACTCTCAAATGGTATACTTCTATTAGTAAGTACGTACGTCTTACGTACGTTATAAGAGCGTTACACGTTAAGAAAATAACATTGCGGAGATAGGGCCATGTATTTCTTATGGACGATAGAAGCGCGGTGATGTCACGATGAACACAAGCACGATTTAGGGTTGTATTATTTGTATTTTCGTTTCCACAGATATGAATTAAAATTAATGTTTTTTAAAGTAATTGACCAAAAAACTATTATAAACTTGCTAATAAGCAAGAAGAGCAAAAATTTTGGGTTAATGACGGGTTGATGGACGATATTGATCCTGTGATAATAAATGTGACGTTTGATAGTGACAGTAATGAAAGTGCCATGATAAAACATTTTTATTTCGATAAATTCCTTTTTAACATATTTTATATTATCTGTATGTTTATATGTATGTTTGTATTTGATGCTATTTATCGTCTTTTTTGGGTTTCATTGCATAATAATATCTTAAAAGTGACCTCAAGTTTTACAATTTATAAAAGTCCAATCATCTTTGAGTATTTATTTAAAATTGCTATTCTTTAATTTGTATAAAATGTCTTTGTATAAGACATGAGTTATTTTAGGTAAAGTTGACTAACTTTAAATAAAATAATTTCAACGATTGAAATTAGAAAATAAAGTATATCGTTTTTTCTGATTGCTAGACATATACTTTTAGATGTGTTATCAATATTTTAGAAATTTCGACTTATCGCATACTATTCAAAATTAACTGAATAAATACATTACTATAAAAAATAAATCAGCAGTACATAACTGACCTCTATATATTTAAATTGTTACTAATATTTGAGCTTAAGACGCATTCTTCAAATTATGTGTAAATATTAACATATTACTAAAAAATATTGTACTTTTTAACTAATTTTTTAACTATGAAGTCTCGTACTATGTTCCTGTTCCAAATTGATGTACTGTCTGACGAGTCTCGATATTTCGTGCGCTTGCTCAGTTTGCAGCCTTGTAACTCTTTGTTGCAGTAGATTACCACATTTCATGTCCAAAAATAATGCCCCATCTTCTGACCTGACCTTTCTTGTGCTAATAACTTCCGCGTAAGGCCAGTGGTGAATGGTTTCGTGAGTATTCATATCCAAGAAATGTACTCCATTTTTATTTAGCGCTAAGATGTGCTCCTGCGAATTGTCGCTTTCGCCAATGACTCTCTTGACAGCAAAGAAGGAGCTACCGAAAAGCGACCAGTTACTCAGAACTTGCAGCACGCGATACTTAGCGGTAGATACTGGAAGATTAGCAGCTTGCCCCCATGATGTTTGCACCAAGGCTAACCATTGAGCAGGTCTGGGTTCTCTGAGCGCCAAAACTGGTTTGGGTAATAAGAACTTCACTTCTTTAAGATTTGGCGAGTGGCCAAGATCTGCAGCTCTATGAAGCAAAGCGGCTATTAAAGACATATCTCTTACTATACTAGACGGTAAATTTGGGCTGCCTAATCTGAGTAGTAGACCTTCTAAATAATCTGGAGCTACTTGATTGAATAAAACTTCTGTATACAGTGGACTAGAATCGTGTTTAAGGGGATGGTACCATACCGATCTGAAAACAAAACATTAATTAAGTATATAAAGATAAACACGATACTTTATAAACATTTCCATTAAATTGAAATGAGAATTGAATTTATTAAAAAATATATTTTAAGATCCTTCACTTTATAAAATTAATTAGTTTTCTTTCGTCTTCTCATTTTTATTTTTACTTGTAGCAAATTTTAATTTAAAGATAACTTTCCCATTCCGTTTTTTTGACCCATTTTTTATTGGATTTCTTTAATGCAGTGATTTTATTTTACGTCTATTTATTTTAATATATTATTGCTATGTTATGCAAAACATAATTCCAACTCATCATGAACGATAAGACTACTACCCAAATGAATCTGAACAATGACCCTCCCGCAAGAATCAGTGCTCGCCCCTCTATTATTTAGCCTTTATATAGCAGACATTTCCGAAACCGCTTCAAAGAATTGGAGACTACTGAGCAAATATAAAAAACAACCTAGTTATCCTCGAAAGATATTTAAGCCACTAGAGATTACAACCCACAGCCGCCAAGATACGAGTATCCTGCTTTTATTTAAACAGCAGACTGGCCAACTATTAATTAAAACTCCACTTTAAAGACAAACTTCCCAACCACACTAAACACCCAAGATATCTAGGTGTGACACTCGAGAGAACAATAAACTTTAAGAACATTTTACAAAGATAACTGCCAAACTTGGCATACGAAATAATATTCTGCAAAAGTTATGCGGTACCACATGGAGTTCCACTGCATCTACGCTTAGATCGACAACACTGGGACTCCTGTATCCCGTTGCGGAGTACTATGCACCGGTGTGGTTCAACAGCCCACATACCGAACGTCTTGCTGCCAAACTAAACCAGGCTTTACGTATTATATCGGGCACATTAAAGTCCATACCAACATACTAGCTACCAGCACTAAGCCTCCTCACACGCTCGTCGAGAACATGCCCTTGACAGGGAGTATAGAAAAATTAAGACTGATCCTTTACTCCGCTCCCACGTTGGCATCACCTGCAGAGACATAAATAGGCTTCGATCAAGAAACAACTGTCTAGATTCTGCAAGAAGTCTAATTGAAAGGAACTTCAAGATAACCGACTGTTGGCGAGAAGATAGGGAGAAAAACGTAACCGTCTGACATCCTGAATATGATATTTATTACAAGCAAGCCACATGGTTTCGAACAACCAAGACGAATCTGGGTCACCACTGAACAGAATCAGAACAAACTGTGGCAGGTGCTCCGAATTACTTTTTAGATTGGATAAAATACTCTCTCCAAACTACGATTGCGGTGCTAAAAGACAAAGGGTTAAACATCTATTAGAAGAATTTCAGATCAGATCCTACAATGGCATTCCGTCAGATTTCTTAGTTGCGACCAAAGACACAATTGAATATATTTGTCAACTAAATAATGTTTGTTTGTAAAAATTAAATATTGTTAGTTACTATTTGTAAATGTCTTCAATTGTACACAAAACTAACTGTGATGTAGCCATATGTTAAATAAATGGATAAATTGGATTTCTTTCATACTATTCCAATTTTTTAAAAGTATTTAACATTCATCCTCCTCAATCCTCATTAACATCCTCCAATAATATCCATTATTATTATGTATCAACTACCTAAACCTCCTTCTGAAGTTAATAGGATGTAAAGAATTTTTTTGGAAATTATCTGATTTCGACGGTAATTTCAGGCAATTTTTGGACATTATACTTCTTCGGTACATGCCTGGAAGTTATTGGGAAGACAACTAAAATTGTATTTGTCTTTCAAATTTTAACAAATTGGTGAAGTCGTGTATGGTTCAGCGTATTTATTACCTCTGTGTACGAAACAAGGAATCGTTTTACTGTATATGTTGACTAAAAGAAAGCCTTTGATTTAGTGCCATATGAAATGCGTACAAATATATCAATATTTTAGTTATTTAAGATACTTTGGTTATGAACTTTGGTTTTAGTATCAAAAATAAAAACACACTGAAATGGCGAAGCTTAGTCATCTATTATATTGATGATTTGAAATGAATGCCTTTCACCAGAAACCACCAAAATTAGATGTAGATCACTGTAGAAAAAAAACTCAAATGACATTAGTATACATTTCGGACTAGACACACTGTATTCAAAATCTAGTAACAGCAAGAGGTAAGATTCAGCCCAAATAATTCGATATGCGAAATGACCAAAACATCTAGGCCATAAGTGAAAATAGTGAAAATAATATACCGAATATTTTGGGTACTAAAAATTGGCCATAAACAAACGAAAACCGATTTAAATTCATCGTTCTAAGCTATTCATTTGTTATTAAAAAGGGGTTTAAAACTGACAGAAAATCTTCAGCGAAAACTACGAACTCTTCTCGCAATTGCACAAACATTTCATCCACGTAGTGCAACAGAAAGAATAATATTACCGCAGTATGGATACAGGTGAGCAATTGAACAAACAGGTTGCTTTAGAACTCTTTTTCAGAAGTGGTCTACGACATCTTATTGTTGATGTTGATGAGAAAATTGTGAAAAAATGCGAATAAACCATATTTCAATAAAATAATTCTCACTTGGATGGGAAATTCTTTGTAAGAGCAAGATCCAAATAAAGTCAGTCAATACTATTTCGACAATACAGTTTCAGATCGTTTGTTTACATCAGAAAAAATGTTTCCTGAAAAATATAGTTTCCTATTCGCCATTCAAGATCAGGTATTCCAACCAAAAATTACCAAAAATGTATTGTCACAGCTCCTCAGGTACCAAACGATAAATATCAATATCGATTTTAAGCTTAGAAACCATCCAACAACCTTATCTGTGGCTGCCAGGTATTTGCTGTAACTGAATGATATTAGGAAACCTCCAAAATCTCCATTCTAGAGAAACTTCTTAATATCACCAAACAACTAGGACTTGTTTGAAGAAAAAAAACCAGGACTTAGTGACAACCTCCATAAGACCAGGTACAAAACGGTACTGCTCGCAACATCCATATCGTATGACAATTTTTGGGAGATACTTCAGCATACCAGATTTACATAGGCTCGATATAACGGAAAGAGCCTCATCAGAGCTCTATCATCAATATTTTTGATAACGTAGCGTCTGGTTAGGTAAATTGTTTCCTTAGAGGGAGTGAGAGCCGCATTAAATGTGGACAGAGTTAGAAGAAATAGATCGCAATGTTTCTGGATCGCAACTACTGGGAAGATTTATTACAATAAATTATATAATTAAAATTGCTTCTGTAAACTATAACCATTTAAAATATAAACATTGCGTTAATTTAAACAAAAACTAACTATGCATTTTAAGAAGAATTGTTACTGAGCATAATCGACTCGAAATCAACCTGAAAGTATTGCAGATTGTAGATGAAAAGGAATGCAGAATCTCTGAGTTAGATCATGAAACCTCTATATACGTACCATCAAACTACTGCTCCAAGAACAGAGAAGAAAAGGGGAGACCATTGATCTAAAAGTAACTAACTTATTTAAAATTCAAGATGATTTCATAACACTATGCCACTCCAGTTTTTATATGAGACTAAGGACAACCTTCCTAAAATTTCCATTATTTCCTGTCATACTTAATTATTGACATAAAGGTATTCTTTTTCATATTTTGAAAAAATCTTCCCAATTTATTTAAAACCTCTATAGTTTGTTTTATTTTTAAATGAACTATGAGTCTATCATCCCTAGAAATATTCCGTGAAAACACCCTATAAATGTTTAAAATAAATAGTGTTTACCTGCAAAATATTAAGTAGAATGGTTGAGCAGCTTTATGTAGTTCTGTAGTAACATCCAAAATATATTCATCAGCGGCCAAAGGCATGGTAAACGCGTCACCTTGTACTATACAGTATAGACTAAACTCTTGTTGTTCTACTTCACTGGTAACGCCAATGAGGCCGCACAACTCACTGATTACATCAGCTACCACTGTGCTACACCTGAAAATTAATAAAACATATAAATATATTAAACTTACATTGTAGCATACATGTATATATAGGTATTGCGGTAAAGGGTCCGAATTCGAAGAACTTACACTTCTTCTTCATGTGCCTTGTCCGTTCCGAACGTTGGCAATCAACATGGCTATTCTGACTTTGTTTACGGCAGATCTGAATAGTTCAGCAGATGACAATCCAAACCATTGGAGCAAGTTTTGGAGCCACGAGTGTCTTCTCCTCCCTGGACCCATTCTGCTGTCTATTTTCCCTTGAACGATCAGCTGTAGTACTCTATATTTATTATGTCTCATAACGTCACCCAAGTATTCCAACTTTCTTTTCTTTATACTCATTCCTACCTCTCTCTCTTTACCTATCCGGCGTAGTACCTCTTCGTTGGTCTCGTGCTCAGTCCAGGATATACGTAATATACGTCGGTAAGCCCACATTTCGAAGGCCTCTACTTTTTTCATCAATGTTGCGGTCATTGTCCACGCCTCCATTCCATATAACAAAACCGGGAATACATAACATTTCAGAAGTCGAATTTTGAGAGGTAGGGTGAGGCTTTTAGAGGTGAAAATTTACTTCATGCTAGTGAACGATGCTATTGCTTTTTCTACTCTTATACGTATTTCCTTCGCTTGATCCCAATTTGAGTTAACTGTTATTCCCAAGTAGATGTACGAATCCACGTGTTCAATCCTTTCATTGTCTAATATCAGTTGCTGTGGTGGTTGTTGGGTTTTGCTTACTAACATCCATTTGGTTTTTGTGATATTTAGTCTGAGTCCGTATTGTGCACTTGTTTTTTGTATCTTACTCATTAGGCAACTCAGTTCCTCCATGCTACTTGCTAGAATCACAGTGTCATCAGCATGACCTTATGTTATTAATTATTTCTCCATTTATCTTTATGTCTTCTGTGCTTTCCTCCAGCGCTGTCTTAAATACTTCTTCTGAGTATATATTAAAGAGAATAGGAGACAAGAATAGCCCTTGTCGTACCCCTTTCTTGATCTCAATTTTATTGGTCAATGTAGATCCTACTTTCATTTAGCTGTTTGACCCCAATAGAGACTCGCTATTGTTTGAATGTCTCGGTAGTCGACTCCGATCTTATGGAGAACATCAATTATCTTTTCGTACTTTACGTTATCGAATGCTTTTGCGTAGTCTATAAAGCATATGTACACGTCTTTGTTCATATTACTGCAGCGCTGGATGAGTACCTGTAGACTAAAAAGTGCTTCTCTTGTCCCAAGAGAATTCCGAAACCCAAACTGCGAATCTCCAATGTTATCATTGCATTTTTTGCTTATTCTGTTGTAAATAACCTTGGTGAATGCCTTCGAAATGTGGTTAATTAGACTTATCATCCGATGTTGATCACAAGACTTTGCTTTTGGTTTTTTTCGGTATGGCAACAAAAGTTGACTCTAACCAGTCTTCAGAAAACTCCCCGCTGTTATAAATATTGTTAAAGAGTCTGACGAGTGAGTCTAGAAATTGACTGTTTGTTTGGCACAGCATTTTCAATACTTCCCCGTATACGTTATCGTTGCCTGGTCTTTTGTTATTTTTAAGACCCTTTATAGCATTCTACACTTCTGATTTTAGAATAGAAGGGCCAGCATCATCATTGCTCAGTGTATACCCACTAGGACGGTCATCATTAAACAGTTGTTCCACATAAGTTTCCCAGATTTTAACTATTTTGTCGGGGTCTAGTTGTAGATTTCAATTATCAGCGCACAGCCCTTTCGATAAAATATTGTAGCCTTTTCTTTGTTGTGAGTTCCTTTATCTTCTTATGCATATTGTGATAGTCGTATACCTTTTCGAACTGTTTGATTTCTTCGCATCTCTCCGAGAACCATTTCTCTTTAGTTTTTCTTATCTCAGCTCTTATTCGTCTATGGGTTTCACGGTATTTGGCAGTATCTTTAGTTTTATATATCCGTCTCTCTTCCATCATGTCAAGGATTTCTGCAGTCATCCAGTCTTTCTTTTTTCTCTTATCAGGTAGTAAAAACTTACACTGCCAAGCCTAAAATAAGAGGCATGCCTGAATTAAAAGGTATTTCAGAATTTTTTATTTTTTCAGATTTTGTTTCAGCGCTGTAAGGTCCAACGCCCATGAACCAACCATTTTAAAACATTTGTGGAAAACTAGTTTCATATGCAATCGGTTTACGACGTAAATAAAACCTGTCCCTGCCCAGGAAGCGACTGGTTTTGGATCAGTTGGAGGGTTATAAAGAAATTTTAAATGTAACAAAATGGTAACAATGTACCTATATTCTACATACACTCTAGGTTACGTTTTCTTTTAATGTCTTTACTCTCTTTAGATCTCTCAGCGGATTGTCTGTAATTCGTCTCAGTACTCTTATTTCTGCCGTTTCCATTAGCTTTTGTATTGTGGCTGTGCCGGGTCTTGTTTCTGAGGCATATGTCATTATTGGTCTTACACTGGCTTTATAAATTCTTGACTTCATCTCAGTGTTAATGTGTCTGTTTCGCCATATAGTGTTATTAAGGCATCCTACCAGTCTATTTGCTTTTGGTACTTGATCTCTTACTTCTTTGTCCATGCCTTTATAGCTGAACAGTCAAATTCCAAAGTATTTTATTTCCATTACTTCTTCAATACTGATGGAATTAATTTCTATTTTATATTTATCTTTAGTTTTAGTTTTCTGAGGTGAGATTGTCATATATTGTGTTAGTTATTTGTGCAAATGTATTTAAATGTTTATGTCATTCGAATATGTGCTGGATAGCCAAATTTTTTGGCGAAATGCCCTTAAAGATGCTTTGAGGGAGAAAGTACTTGGCAAAAATTTAATAAAGGAACTGTGCTCAATATCTGTCTTTTATTTTTAAAATTAATTTATATTTGTCTAATATGCCAACATGCACTATAAAATTTATTAACTAATTCAATTTCTACAACAAATAAAAGGTAAACACTACTCACCTTGTATTAACAACTCTTTCAGCACCACCTGGTAACCTATATATTTGTCTCCTAGCACTTCTACCAGCACTGACTGCCGTCACTTCTTCTACCGAAGGGACGTTCTTTCTTCCACCACATCTTTGCGTCTTCCTTAAATTCGACAAACACACAGCCGCAGTTCCGTGACAGATCCGCCTCCGGTCGTTCGCGGCACTCGTCAAATGCTCCATAAGGAAGGGAAGAAGAACATCAGAGCATGCAAAGTAAGCTGCCACTATGGATAGTAGTCGCCAGGCTCGTTGGCATGATTCTGGGTGCGGCGATTTGTTGCTGGTAGTTTGTTTCATTAGTTGACAGTAGACTTCGTCCCGTAGTTGGATGAATTTGTGACAGTGCTATAACAAATGATTTACAATTTTAATCAAATATGCCAATTGAGTATTTTTTAATATATAACATAAGTACCATCTGTAGTGGCTTAAAACTCTAGTCGAAAAGTCTATCGAATATAGTAGACCCTTGGTTCTTATTTTTGTTGAGCACCACAAAGAATTTCACATAGTGGAAATAGTCGCTATTTGCAGAAAGCAGGACAGTATACAGGTATAAGAATATTATTAGAAATATATACGAAAATTAAACTGTAAACCTTCAATGCATGACTAAGAAGATAAAAAGTGGCCGATGGTTGCGGCAGAGACATACTTGGTCGACTAAACTATGTATTACATTTATAAAGTACGCATTTAAACGAAAAAAATGAGATCTAGACATCTGAGCTACTTAGGAGAGTAAGTTTAGGTTCAGCGTCAGTCGGAAAAATGAGAAACGTGTTTAAAACAAATATCCCAATAAATTTAAAAAGAAAAACTTTCAACCAGTGTGTTCTATTAGAACTCACATATGAAGCAAAACCCTTAACTCCCACAAAAATATAAACGGAAAAATTAAGAACGACATAAAATAAAATGAAGTGATCGATACCAGTCATGTATGCCAAATGCGCAAAAGTTTGTTGTGGGAAAATGAGTTCTTGTACACTTTTTTAGATAGAGTTTATCTTCACAGATAAATTCGGGCTAACAAATAAACTGAACATTTTAAGAAGTAGATTATCAAGGAAAAATTAGGGATTAACCGATACACTAAACATCATCATCATCATTCTAGCTTGGCTTGGCTGTTACCCTCTGTCGGTCTTAGCCTCCTCAAGAATTTCTCTTAAGTCATTCCTATCCATTGTCTTTCTCCTTCTAGCACGTATTCACATATTTCTTATATTTTCATTGATGTTATCAAAGAACCTTGTTGTGTGTTCTTCTTCTTCTTCTGACCAATATGTCTAGAAAGAAGCACTTTTCTTGCGGGTTCAGATATCTGGTTTATGGTATTTTCTATAATGTTCGAAGTTTTGTCTTTTTATCAACACGTCATTGTCATTCATTACTCCGTAGATACGTCTTAATACTTTTGTTTCAAAACTTCCTAAGATGTTTTCATTACTTTTTGTCCAGGTTTCCGAACTATATAAAAGGACTGGGCGTATTATTGTTTTGTAGAGTTTTATCTTTATTGATATTATTGCATTTATTGATATTATTGAGAATTTAAGACCAAAATAGCACTGTTAGCCATGAAAATTCTATTCGATGACGTCGTTTTCAAAAACAAGTCGCCGTAGAATTTTAGGTTGCGTGCTTATTTTCAGGTACAACTTCATTTTATTGGTGTTTAATATTAAGACCAGTTTTCTAACCACTTTTTTAGTACTGCCTAGGTGAACCTCTTGTACAGCGTTTTTCGTTTTTCCAACAACATTGATATTATCAGCATAACATGGATTTGCACTGATTTATTTTATATTGAACCGATGGTTGTGATTTATAAAATAAACTAAACATTATAAAAAAAAAATTATCAAAAAAAATAAATATTATGAATCAAACATTGTCAAAGTGGACTATACAATAATTATTTCACGCAGCAGCTGATAGAGAAAGGTTTCAGAAAATTGTAAACATGATGATGGCCATAGCACCTAAAGAAAGAAAAGTCATATAGAGTGTTAATCTATAAAAAATCGATTCTTTTTTGATTTTTAGGAACTTCGAAAAAAGATTTTCTTTATTAGAAGAATATAATTATTTAAACTGTTATTGTATATGTATTGTATATGTATTCTCAGATTCTTTGTAAAATATTATAGTGCCTCATAAACTGCCATATCTTTCGCACTGAAGATAGAAAAATTATGGCTTAATTTAAATATTTCTTTTATTTTATTAGCAAGTACGTAAAAGGTACATGCAGTGCGTACTAATGACTTAGATGCATCTGTATATTTATAGTCTGGCCAATTCTCTAAAAATGTTCTCAATATGTTAGATCTAATAAAGGTAATCGATTTTGACAAGAGCTGTGACCTTGTAAATATCAGGTAAACTTGTGTACTAAATCGGCATGACTCATAGCTCTTGTTAAAATCCATTACCTCTATCTATGTTTTCATAGTAACTTTATTATTAATTTAAAATATATAATTAATGTAAAAAATAATGAACATACTTAAGTCTAAAGCTGTCAACTAAGTTATAATTATAATTAAATTTTGACAAATTTCGGAAAGCCTCGCAGTGGAGGCAAGCTTTTACTCTTCCAGTGTTCGTTGGTTAAATCTGCTTCATTCAGCTTGTTAATCTTGTCGTAAGGACTAATATTAAGGTATCGAAGTGTAATTAAAAATTTCTACATCAGGTACTCTCTTGAGTGGCATTTCTAATAATGAAATGAAAACACAATGTTTAAACATTTTTATAAACAAAAATATGGGGATCTTATTAAAACGAGAAAGTAAAGGGAATAAGAAATGGTTCAACTGAGACAGTAGCATTTAAACGTAAATTTATTGAAAAAAATAAAACGTAACTTGGAACAAGACACATATATGCAAAAAAGAAAAAGCATGCTAAACTTGTTATTTGATAAAATGACGAAATACAATTATAAAAAAGAAAAATTTATTGGTTTAATGATTTTACTTAGAGCTAAATAAAACTATGAAAATCAAACTTACGTATTTAAATTATTAAAAGTAATAAGTATGTAAAATTGCTTTATTTAATTATAATTTTATAGCGCATTTTCAGAGTTGATTCTTCTAGAATCTGGATACATAACTTACCATTAAAACTGTGTAGACACATTTTACTTCGGACATGTCTGGCATTAAAGGCAAATCTCCGCAGTACCTTAATATACATTCGAAACATTCGATGGATAGTGCCGATAATTCCGGGTCTTCTAGCCTTAACAATGGACCGTCAATGGGTACTCCCTGCCATTTTATTAGATCAGTGTGCTGTTTCCACGTCCATTCTTTTCTTTTGTCTTTTGGTTTTGCCATAGAGTCCATTTTCAGGTTTTCCAATCTAAAAAAATAAATATGTACATGATTATAAACAAAATAATATATTGTAAAGTAGTGGTAAAACATTAGAACCAATGATATGATTAAATATTTTCTTAAAAATTTAAAAATATCTACAAGTAACCCAAACGTTCATCTTATAAATTAAGCTATCATAAAAACTTTCCTCTAGTTGATAAAACTATGATAATAAATATTTCAACTGCCATATTATGGCTCATTGGTATCATTGTCAAGTTGTTTATTGTATCTAAACTAAGTAGAGGTAACCACCGAAAGACCTTCGGTATAAATGATCTCCTTCAGACCTACCAACAACTTCTTTAAGAAGATGGAACAGTGGACTCAAGTAGAAGTACTCTGTTTGTCTTTAAGTGAAGAAAGCGAGTATAAAAACTAAAGTAGGTCAACGGAATCAGGATGCAGAAAGCAAGAAGACATAACTGTATTAAAGATCTCAATCACTTATTCTGGCAATAAAATCAACAATGACCCCGAGTCTCGATGCTTCTTAAAGTAAATGCGAAGAATCTTCGATGAAATCTAATGAAAAATTCGATGAAAGTTGAAACATGGAATATTTGAAGACTACTAAGAGCACGAAAGGAATAATTTAATTTTTGATAATGATGTTATCTACCTCCCTGGAGGAGAAAATAAGTTTCCTTAACAATATGGTGTTGCATTGCAAAGGATACAACTAAAAAGGTAAAAAAAAGTAGCCGGTATCACTGGAGGATAGAGTCTAGGCACACGTAACCACAGGGGCTATGCCATTTGATGTGGCTAAACAACAGGCACCTGGTTTAAACTACCCCACAGGCGAATCAATACATGAAAATCACCTGAAAATAATAATCAAATCATTTTTGCTATAATTAATCACAGGTTTAAATCAAGTATCTCGAGTGCAAAATCCTACCTAGGCATGGACATAGGGCCAGACCACAAACGAGTCATTATCATTCTCAGACAAAAACTAAAAACAAGACGTCGAAGTACACCAAAAAAGTGTAATATTGAAACATTTCGAAGCGAAGCTAATAAAGAAAAAGATAGTAATTAAACTTAATGAAGACCTAAAAAACAATCATAACAGAAGATGGAGAAATACAAAATGCATGGCAAGCCATCATAAACATGTGGGAGTACAAAGAGAAGAACTTAAGAATACAAAAAGTAATAGACAGAAAAATGGATGACGCAAGTTGTGACGCAAATGGAAACTTGTTATTGTTGAAAAGAATAAAGGTTTTTATTGAAAATAAACAGACCGATAAAATAATCTACACAACACAACTTGGTACCTTATAGAATATTTGTTTTAGTTGCAAATTAATTAAAATATACAAAAATATGGCGTATGTGTGGTTAAAGGACGTGCAAATCAGAATGCTTATTGACCGGAGCAAAAAATATCTCAGAGGGACATACCTGCAGTGGTAGGTATAACACAGGGTGTTGTGTCAAAAACCTATGCAAGGTAGCAGAGGAACGCTAGAAAATAGCGCAAAACAAGGTCGCCAAAACGTTACAACGGCTCCCCACGATGGCTTGATTGCACAAGAAACTAGAAGAGATACAACAATTTCCCTCCCGCAGCTCCAAAGGCAACTTCTGGAAGCTTCAGATGTAAGTGTTTAAGTTGAAAGGATAAGAAACAAACTTCGTTGCCAAGGACTATACAGCAGTAGAAAGTTACGGGTCCCAAGTTATCCAGCACGAGATTGATCACCTATATGGGTGTATTTAACTCCCAAACTGGAACATTGGAAATTGAAAAAATGTGCTTTAAAAAATTTTTCAAACGAAACCAGAATTTGTAATTTTACACAATTTGTAGATGACTGACAAATTCGTGTACCTCGAGGGCGAGGAAGACAAGCAAGAACGAAAAGTGCCAGATTTGTTCACAGATATAAAAGATGTAGTGTCATCTTTTATGGAGGCATTATGATAATGGACGGTAAAAAACTCCTTTAATTTACATCCAACCTGTTTTAACAGCTCATAGGTATGCTAAATTGGTTCTAGAACCTAGAGGTAGGCTCTGGGGAGGCGAATAAGAAAAAAATTAATTTTCTTTTATGATAATACACCTCCACATACCAGAAGAGTGTCTATAGTCCTCCTTGTTTTAGAGTAGCCTGCTTGCTCACCCAACCTAAATCCTATAGAGCATTTGTGGAATATACTTAAAAGAAGAATTAAAGCTCGCGGGATAATTCACAACATACCGCACAGCTAGTACAAGCCGCTCTTGAACAATGGAGCAACCTACCACAAAAAAAAATGTTAACAATTTGTTTAGGAGTATGCCCACGCAAATTAAAGCTTGCGGGGTAGTTCGGGGTAGTAACACTGACTTAGCGGAGATATTAACAGCAATGATGACTGAAATAACAAACGAAGAAGTGGCTCAAGCAATTAAAAAAATAAAGATGGGAAAAGCAGTTTCACCAGATGATATTCCTGGGGAAGTGTAGAAAGCGTTATAAGAGAGAGGGACAAATTGGTTAACAGATCTATTTAATAGAATTATGGAAGTTAGACCAATGCCAGACGAATGAAGAAGCAGTGTATTAGTACATGTCTATAAAAACAAGGGAGATGTACAACAATGTATAAATTACAGGGCCATAAAACTACTTAGTTACACCATGAAAATTAGGAAGAGGGTAATTGACAGACGAATACGTAAAAAAACCGATATATCCGATAATCAGTTTGGATTTATGCAAAGCAGATCAATAACAGACGCAATTTTCATTATGGGGCATGGTTGTAAACTGATTTTGTTTACAACCCTGTAATTTTCAAAATAGTATATTTCCCCTTGTTCATTAACTTTACTCCACCCTGTAGGCCAAGACGCCCATTCATTCCAATACCTTACGAATAAATTCTAACGGTACTGGATAAAATCTAACGGTACTCGGACCCTGTGAACAATGATCTGTCCCCGACATCGACGACCGATGGTCGAGAGATAAAGCCACTCTCTCTGCTAGTAACCCCCGAGGAAGACGGATGGTGCTTTTAATACAAAAATTTGTGATTTTGTGAGTTGCGATTCTCAGAGCGTGTCTATCTCATCAAGTGGTTAGCAATAAGAAAAGTTGTCTCCGCGATTGTGAACCATAACTTTGTGTAACCACGTATATTATATATCGTACCCGTTGTATATTGTTTTTTTGTGTTAAGTAGAATACGTAGAGAAATAAATATTAGCTACAAGTTACTCGTATTCTTTACGTACAATAGACACTCAAAATAATATAGTCCATTCAAACACCCCAGAGAATACCGGCGGTATAAGTTCGTAGCATACTAAAAGCACGTGGAATCCCCAACGCCGGCATTTTCTCCAGGGCAATTGATGGAAAAATATAGGAATAAAGAAACAAACGCTCATATGGTATTCATTGATCTTGAGAAAGCATATGATAGACTTCCTCGGGAGATTCTGTGGTGGACACTCAGTAAGAAAGGAGTTCTGGATGAATATATAAAGATTGTGAGAGACATGCATGACGGAGTAACAACTAGTGTTATGATACGTGTAGGAGAGACTGATAAATTTCATGTAAAAGGATTGCACCAAGGCACGGTGCTTAGTCCTTATTTTTAATAAACCGTGGTGCTTAATGTATGCTGATGATATAGGGTTAGTAGGAAGTAGTAAAAGCGACTTGGCTTTTACTACAGGTTTTAAAACAGCGAAACTGGAGCAGTGGAGACAAGTTTTTAAGGAAAAAGGTTTAAAACTTAGTAGGACAAAAACTATGAGAATTTGGAATGTTCACTTAAACATGAAGTTAGTACAAATAGAACGATATATTTGGATGGTGAAATGACTGTGAAAAGAAATAGTTTTAAGTACTTAGCATCGGCGTTACAGAGTACTAGGGCAATAGATGTATGTAGTAGAGTTAGGGTTGGATGCATGAAGTAGAAGGAAGCGAGTGGTGTGTTGTGAAACAAAAAAAAATTCAATGAAGCTGTAGGAAAAATTCTATAAAACAGCCATAAGACAGTTATGATCTACGGAACAGAATGTTGGACATTTAAAAAGAAAGGGGAACAGCGAATGCATGTGGTGGAAATAAGAATGACAAAAAAGTGACAAAAAAGGATAAAATTACGAATGAGTTCCTGGAAGTAGTAGGAGAGGAAGATCAAAACAGACCTATGGGAGACGCTTAGGCAGGACATGTCAGTAAAGGGTATTAATATTGATATGACCCAAGATAGACACTTACGGAGAAATATACTTGGGAGAGCCCGCCCCCTTAGGGATAAAGGCTATGGAAATGAAAAGGAATGATGATGAGTAACACTGGCTACTAAAAAAAAAGTAAATAAATAAAACCATTTAAATATTATTCGTTGTAATGTAAATTTTTTTATGCTATTGAATTTAAAACAAATAGTTTGAATTTGTTATTTCAAGAATTTATTGTTTTCTTTAATTTGTTTTAGTGGTGATAAATTGCTTCAAAATAAATATTTTTGGAAATATTTTCATTTAAATAGGAAATAGATAATTCCATAACTTTTGTGTGTATATTAAAAATAGTACCTAAACTATATATTCAAATGGTTTTCATGCTGTTTGTTAAAAAATGGAAATATTCTACAATGATATATTTTGTAACCTAAATAAAACGTATAACAAATAATTTCATCCACAATCAGCAACAACTAACCAATCACATAAAATAAATTACCCAGTAATTGTGAATTAAAACCGCATATTATTATTAATTAATTGCGGACTAGCCATACTCCACTTTTCAATAAATTACCAACCTTCATTACTCCCGGCAATTAAATAAATAACACGCAGAGAACGCGCACACCACAAAACTACAGTTATACTAAACATATAGGTCTAGGAAAAATATAGATCATATTAAACCGCCAATGAAATGAAGAGAAAGAAGACTACCATTTATTATGCTTTCTAATTTTTTACAATGTATACAAGTATACATACTT